CACACAGTCAAAGGCGTAATGACCACCATACAGATTCTCAGGAGGCAGGAAAATTTATGCTTATGTAAAAACTTACATGTGAATGTTTATAGCAGCTTTGTTCATAATCATGAAAACCTGGAAACAACCCAGATATTCATCAACTGATGAATGGAAAAAAGAAATTGTGTTATACCCATACAATAAAAAGGGATGGACTACTAGTACATGCAACAACGTGGTTGAATATCATGTTTATGCTAAGTGAAAGAAACCAGACACTAAAACCTGTATACAGTATGATTGCATTTCTAATTACACTTTGAAAAAGCAAAACTATAGGGACGAAAACCAGATAAGTGGTTGCCACATGGCTGGGAGTAAAGAAAAGTGACTGACCATAAAGGGAAATGAGAGAATATTTCAGTGGGGTGGACGTGTTCCATGTCTTGTTTGTGTTAGAAGCTGCGTGACCGTGTTTTGTCAATGATGAGCTTTACTGTATATAAGTCATATCCCAATCAAAAGGGAAAAAACCTTGTGTTACAGAGTGATTATGGATAGTATACGAGATCATCTTCCTCCCCCCATTTTTTCTTCTGCTTGGTTCTTCATTGTCCTCTGTTCTTTCTATATCTCTTATAAATTTGGAGTCCATGATAAATTGCAATGTCTGATTTCAAGGCTGAGATACTACAGAAAATTGATGTCTTTATCTGCAATCTGAGTCAGATTTTAAATAGAGTCATTAACTGTGTTTTCATACTTCTAGATATTTCAGTTAGTACCGAATAACTCAGAGCTGGAATTTGCCTACTCTGTGAAATACACCAAATAAATCTGGGACTTCCCTGGCGATTCAGTGGTTATGACTCTACACTTCCACTGCAGGGTGCGTGGGTTCAATCCCTGCTTATGGTACTTAGATCCCATATGCCTGTTGGCCAAACAGCAACAACAAAAACATATATATATATGTATGTGTATATATATGCACACACACACAGACACATATACACACACCAAATATACTTGGTTTTACTAGTTGCCTTATCTCTGTCCTGTGGCTGTGGAGGTATACAGTATAGTGTGGAGGGTATTTAGAGCAGTCTTAAATTTTGAGCCTGAATCCCGATTATGAAGGCTACCTCTTCTTCTCAGCAAACACTGTTTTATGTCAGACATTCTCAAAACTTGAGCAAACATCAGAATCACCTGGAGTAGTTAAAAGAGACATTTTTGGCTCCACTTATAGAATTGCTGAGTTAGTAGGTCTGAAGTGGGATCCAAGAATTTTTATTTCTAACAAATTCCCAGATGCTATTGATGCTCCTGGTTTGGGGCACACAATTTGAGAACCATGGATTTATACTTACTCTCGTGTTGCAGTATCAAAATTCCTGCGTAAGTAGTTGCATGCTAAGTAACTTCAGTTGTGTCCTACTCTTTGCTGCGCTATGGACTGTAGCCTGCCAGGCTCCTCTGTCCATGGGATTCTCCAGGCAATAATACTGGAGTGGATTGCCATGGTCTCCTCCAGGGGATCTTCCTGACCCAGGGATCAAACCCTCATCTGTTAAATCTCCTGCATTTACAGACGAGTTCTTTACCACCAGCACCACCTGGGAAGGCGTGCCAACATAAAGTAGCCTACATTTTGTTTTTAAACCACTTCACCATTTCAGTGCCACATTTATATTGGATAAAACTTTTATATTTAAGTGTGAGAGAAACACAGACAGTTAGTGTTTGGCTAGCAGCCACAAAGTATTTGATGCTTTAAAGAGAAATAGTGCTGGCAAGAGACTAAGCAAAAAATATGTATGTGTAGCTGCACCCTCTTCCTCTTCACCTCTTGAATGTCATCCTACTATATCATAGTCATTTTATCCCTCTAGCTACAGTCTCCTTTTGGACACCTATTCTCTATAAAAGCTCTAAGGGCTCCTACCACGCCTCCTCTAATCATTGGCTTTCAGTCGCTCAGTTCAATCAGTTCAGTTTAGTTCAGTCACTCAGTTGTGTCCGACTCTGTGCGACCCCATGGCCTGCAGGTTGCCACGCCTCCCTGTCCATCACCAACTCTCAGAGCCTACTCAAACTCAAATGCATTGTTTCGGTGATGCCATCCAACCATCTCATCCTCTGTTGTCCCCTTCTCTTCCCGCCTTCAATCTTCCCCAGCTTCAGGGTCTTTTCCAATGAGTCAGTTCTTTCACATTAGGTGGCTAAAGTATTGGAGTAATAGCTTTAGCATCAGTCCTTCAAATGAATATTCAGAACTGATTTCCTGTAGGATTAACAGGTTGGATTTCCTTGCAGTCCAAAGGACTCTGAAGTCTTCTCCAACACCACAGTTCAAAAGCATCAGTTCTTTAGTGCTTAGCTTTCTTTATATTTCAACTCCCACATCCATACGTGACTACTGGAAAATCCATAGCTTTGACTAGATGGACCTTTCTTGGTAAAGTAATGTGTCTGCTTTTTAACATGCTGTGTAGGTTGGTCATAACTTTCCTTCCAAGGAGTAAGCATCTTTTAATTTCATGGTTGCAGTCACCATCTGCAGTGATTTTGGAGCCCCCCAAAATAAAAACTCTCACTGTTTCACTCTTTCTCCATCTATTTGCCANTCTTTGGGATTGGAATGAAAACTGACCTTTTCCAGTCCTGTGGCCACTGCTGAGTTTTTCATATTTGCTGACATATTGAGTGCAGTGCTTTTACAGCATCATCTTTTAGGATTTTAAATAGCTCAACTGGAATTCCATCACCATTAGCCTTAGGTATTCTCAGTTAAGATTTTTCCCTGCCTACTTTGTAATAATCCTGACCTCTTCACACTTAAGTTTCATGGTTGTGTACAAATTTTTTTTCCAGGCTGATAGTAATTTTCACTGAGTGAAACCAGAGTACCATCAACTGCACAGTTTGCAACAGTCTGGGGTTTCTGGGTGTCTGATTTCACGTGAACAGATAGATATCGTCATCTTAAATCAAATGCTTCTCTAGACCAAGAAAGAAATAATCCTAGTAATTTTAATAGCACTAGGTAGAAAAAGAAATGAGTAAAATTTAGAATCTTAAAACAAATTATAGATGTTAAGTTTAAGGAAATCTTATATTATTTTTTCTTCATAAATGCCAAAGCAGATACTAAGGACTATATATATAAATTTAATCAGAAGTCTGATTATTTTAAGGTTGTGTTAGGGTATTTGCTGAAATGATATCTCCTGATTTCTCTCTGTGATAGATTATCATTATTTTATGCTTAGAGAGCTGGTGTCCTTTTCTCCTTCTACCACCACCTTACTGATTATCTAGAGTCTGAGAAAATAGCTCATTATACTGGTTGATTACATGCCTCAATTGAATAGTAGCTTGCTGCCAATTATCATTACAATGCCATATTGATTTTTTGTCATTTCCACTGCGGAAATTAAAGCAGAATTTGTTTAAAATGAGTTTCCATATATATTGTGGATGTGATTGGTTCTGAATGTTTGAACTATTTTTAAAATAGTTTTCTTCAGTGATCTGTTGTTTCTTAATGATAGTCTCTTAGAAATTTCAGTCTCATCTTTGTTGATAACCTTTACCTTAGTTAGATATGAAATGTGATTTAAAGACTGTGGCATTGAACTATAGTCATGACTTAAATATATATATACGTTTTAATTATTGCTTCACAGGTTTCCTGCTGTATATTAATTTACATTTGAGAATTTCATGGGCAATATGATTCTGCTCATTCTTTTAACCACACAAATCAGTAAATTTAGTTAAAATTTAATTGGCAAATATTTAGTGTTGACTATATGTAATCTACTCTGCTAAGCATTATGGGAGACTCAAAGATGAATAAGATTATGTAACAGTCTTCAGAGAATTTTTAATCCAGGAAGGTGGGTAAGACACTTGTGATGCAATCATAATGTCATTCAGTAAGAGATACAGAAACAGCGGGCATTCAAGGGGAAATAACACATTTGGATGTAGTACTTACAGGGAAAAACATTAATGGAGGAGTTGCCAGTCAGTTTGAGCCTTGGAGAGATAGAGTTAGAGTTACCTTCTGGAATGAAAGAATGAAAAGTGAGGTCAAGCAGGGAAGACTGCAGGAAACAGAATATGTCTGATTTTATTGGAACATGTTGTCTAAGGCTTAAGGCTTGAAAGGTAGGTTGAGGCTTGATCAGAATCAGGAGTTGCAATTTGTTAGGTAGTCCAGAGAAGATTTTTGACGGAAGACTGCCCTTATTCCCTCTACTGGGAAAGTTCTTACTCTTTTCAAAACTCGGCTCAAATATCACTTTATCGAAGAAACTTCCCCTGACTACACATAAAAAAAAAGTAATAATACTGGGTCACTCATTCCATTTCCCAAGGTTTTTTTCTATTCATAGTACCAAAGCAGTGATATTTTATTAAATAGACAAAGGATATTTTATCCTTTGTCTTCTTTTTTCTAGATGCTAAGCTACATGATCATAGGGGTTTAGTTTGTTGCCAGTTATCTCTGTCACATAGAACATGCCTGGTAGTTAGTGGGAACTCAAATAAATATATTTTGAATGAATGATCAGAATAAATGCAAAGATAAATAAGTTGGGGGGTCAGGAATTTATGCCAGTATTTCAAGTTTGAGGGATTCAAAGGATAGTGGTGTTATTAACAGAATATTGAAGAGTGGAAGAGGAGTTGATAAAGGGAAACAGAGACAAAGCAGAAAATAAATTTGGGTTATAAATTCAGGCTTAAGTGTTTAATGCTGGTGAAACAAACAAGGTAGTGCTGTGGAATGGGCAATCTAAAATGTTTGAAAAGTGTGGGATTGTGATAAAAGATCTCTTCAGTCATTATCATAGGGTCAATACTCAAAGCAATTGGAGTAGAAAAAAAGAATGACAAACAGCATGAAGATTGGATTAGCACATTTGAAAATCAAAAATTTAATTTGAGGTATTTAATGTTTTAATTATATAAACTTATTTATACTTTGTTTGTTTGTTTAATAGCTGGGTTAACAACTTTGGCCATGAAGGTCTTGGACTCTTGTTGGATGTGCTGGAAAAGCTTCTGGACAAGAAACAGTAAGAATAAACAAGAAAAAAAAAAATTCACCACAGGGGACATTTTTAAGCACAATATAATTGTTTTTTTCTTTTATTCAGGCAAGAAAATATTGACAAGAAGAATCAGTATAAGCTTATTCAGTGCCTCAAAGCATTTATGAACAATAAGGCAAGTAGTATTTATTTTTGCCTTTGTTACAGAAGATGAGAACTTTCACCACAGAGTGTATGAAACAGGCAAAATCCTGAGTGCTTACTCAGTTACTCAGTTTTCAAAAGGGTCTTTATAATGCAAATCATCATGAGCCTCATTTAAATACTTAAAATATACTTTGCTTCTCAAAATATTTAATAACAGGTTTTTGCAATCATGCAGACATCAAGTCTTGTTCCCAAATCAGATTGGGAACAAGATTGTTTTGTTTGGAACAGATTGTTTTGTTTGGTTTTTTTTTAATAGTAGTCGGAAAATTTAAATTTGATGGATTGGATACCATTTCCTTACAGAGAGCTTATCTTCCATTATAAAAGGACAATTCAAAACTGGTTTGATTTTTTTTTTTTTTTTTTTTGCTAGAAACAGTATAAGGTTAAGATTTTTATTTCTTTTTTTGTTCAGTTAATGTCAGTGAGTTAACTTCCATGAAAGACTTTTCTGGCAGATAGCAGATTTTTGTATATGTGTGGTACCAGTTGCATTATTATTAAGGATTTATCTTCTATAAAAGTAGTCTTTTCTCAGGTTATTAAGTTATTGTCATTTTTTTCTATAAACTAGAAGAAGAATGTACTCTTATGTATGATTTATACCATATTCCTATAGGTAAAATACCATTGACATTTATTAATTAAAAAAAATCCCTTTAGATGGTGTTCTAATGATCTCAAAATATTTAAGAAAAATAAATAAGTATAACAATGACCTAAATCTTGCAAGATGTGAAATATAGCTATTTTTAAAAAATAACCAATGCAATAAGAGTATCTACATAAGTAGTCTGAAATATTTTTTTAAGTGTATGGGATTATGCATGATTATGTATGTGTATATTATACACACATATATCAACAAAGAATTTTTTGAGCATTTTTGAGCATTTTTTGAGCATCTGATGATTGCTTGCCAATTGACATGAGTCTCATGTATAGAATATACTAATTGTGCCGTTCTTGGAAGTTTCTTCTGGAAAGATTTCCATCAGTGTTGCTGCAGAATTTCTCAACTTTTGAGCTCTTTCTCTTTGATGATAAAATTATGCAGAATGTGATACCTAATAGGAAAGCAGTTAATGAACATTGCCCTCAATTTTTTAATTGAGGGAAACTAAGAAATAATGGAAAGATAACACAGTACTAGAAATCAGGAGACAGAGTCTTTGCTTTGCCACTAAGTTGTGTGGCCTTTAGAAAATCATTTGACCTCTCTGCCAATCAGTCACCTAACCTGTAAAATTAGGAGTCTAATCTAAATTCTTATTGGTTTGAGTAGTGAATTCTTACAGCTTTCCAGTGTATGAGTATAATCAGTATAGTTAGTAGAGAAAGTCATATTAGTGAGATTTCCTGTAGAGACTTTTCCCTTGAGACAGCAGTTGATATGCCAACACATAATTAGTTGATTTATAATGTTGTGTTAATTTCATTTATACAGCCAAGTAATTCATTTATACATAACATGTATCTGTTATTTATTAGTGTCTTTTATCATATAGGTTATTACAGAATATTGAGTAGAGTTCCTTCTGCTGTGCAGTGGGTCTTTGTTGGTTATTTATCTTATATATTATAGTATATATGTGTTCATGCCAAACTTCTGATTTATCCCTCCCCCAACCGCATTTCCCCTTTGGTAATCATAATTTTGTTTTTGATATCTGTAAGTCTGTTTCTGTTGTGTAAATAAGTTTTTTCTTTTTTATTAATTAGATTCCACATATGAATGATATCATATGATATATGTTTGTCTTTCTCTGTCTTCACTTAATAAAATAATTTCTCAGTCCATCCATGTTGCTGCAAATGGCATTTCATTCTTTTTTTATGGCTGAGTAATACTCCATTCTCCATTGTACATATGTACCATATCATCTTTATTCATTCCTCTGTTGATGGACATTTAGGTTGCTTCCGTGTCTTGGCTATTGTAAACAGTGCTGCAATGAATATTGGAGTGCATGTTTCCTTTCAGGTTATAGTTTTCTCCAGATATCTTCTCAGCAGTGAGATTTCTAGATCATATACTAGTTCTATTAGTTTTTTTTTTTTTTTTTAAGGATCCTTCATACTGTTCCTGTGTAGTGGTTGTGCCAAGTTGCATTCCCACTAACAGTGTAAGAGGGAGAACATGAGTGATTTAGATTATTTTAAATTAAGGCTAAGTTTTAGTTAGAGCATGTTAATGTCTTTTACACTGGTGCTAGGAACATGAATAAATGGTAAGTCTTTTAAATTACAGACATCTGAAACAATAGGCATAGAGTTACATTAAAAAATATACAGTGATATATCAATTTCATGTTGTATTGAATTTGTCATGATCAAAGCATGAAATTTTAGCCTGAAATGACTTATGCATCAAATTTGCTGACCCCAAAGGTTTTGATTACCTACTTCAAAAACTCTTTTTGCTTATATAGTACATGGAATAATACAATTATGAAAAGGAAACCATTGCCTCTTAACTTCCATTGCTATAATATTGCTCTAATGTTGAGGTTGATGGTTTTCCATCATTTCTCGTACCTTCACTTTTAGTTTGAGAATTTCCCTTCATGTTAGAAGCTACCTTTATACAATAAAATGGAAATTTGAAAAATTTAATGATTTCACTGTCAGTCTAACTGGTTTTTCAAGTTAAGTTTGGTAATTGTATAGTAATCATCTATCTCTCCATTTTACAAATTTTCATTTATTTTCCTTACTATTTATTGTTTACTACCCACCTTTATATATTCATATTCCTTTTGTTTTCTTTGCTTCTTTTTTTTTTTTATTTTTCCATTTATTTTTATTAGTTGGAGGCTAATTACTTTACATCATTACAGTAGTTTTTGTTATACATTGACATGAATCAGCCATGGATTTACATGTTTTGTTCTACCATTGCTTTGATTTTTTGTTGTTTAAATCACTTATATAAAACTAATACAGTATGAACATGTGTGCGTGCTAAGTTGCTTCAGTTGTGTCTGACTCTTATTTGTGACACTATGGACTGTAGCCCACCAGGCTCTTCTGTCCATGGGATTCTCCAGGCAAAAATATTGGAGTGGTCTTCCACGCACTCCTCCAGGGGATTTTTCCCACCCAGGGACTGAACCCGTGTCTCTTATGCCTCCTGCATTGACAGGTGGGCTCTTTACCACTAGCGCCACCNGAAAGAAAGTTTTTTTTTTTCCCTTTCAGTTTGGATTGCAAAGGATTCTAGGAGATGAAAGAAGTCTTTTACTCCTAGCAAGAGCAATTGACCCCAAACAACCCAACATGATGACTGAAATAGTAAAAATACTTTCAGCTATTTGCATTGTTGGAGAAGAAAACATGTAAGTATTGCTTTGTTATTAACATTAACTGCATAGAAATGTATTGTTGGAGAAAAAACATGTAAGTATTGCTTTGTTATTAACATTAACTGCATAGAAATGACACTAGAGAAATTGAGAAATTTATGCTGTTTCTTTGGATACCATGCAGCTGTGCTCAGTTGCTTGGTCGTGTATGACTCTTTGCAGCCCCTTGGACTGTAACTCACTAGACTCCTCTGTCCAAGGGGCTTCTCCAGGCAAGAATACTGGAATGGGTACCCATTCCCTTCTCCAGAGGATCTTCCTGACCCAGGAATCGAATCCATGTCTCCTGTATGTCTTGCCTTGGCAGCAGATTCTTGACCACTAGTGCCACCTGATAGCTTGCATGAAAATAGTATTAAATTTCAGGAAAAAAATTGGTATTTTTGCATTTTTTTTTGATTCTCTGAAAAATAGGTTTAAAAAGACAGAATCCTAATGGGAAGTTCTTCAATGTTGTACATTCCAAGTGAATGATTATAATTTTATCTAGTTGAAGGGAAAGCAATTATTAGAAAAGTAGGGAAAGATCAGTGGGGAGTAATTTTGGCTAAACACACACACAGGCACATTCACATACACACTCTACACAATATACCCCCTCATTCATGCACATCAGAAAATTTGACTTCTTTAACTAACTGAATTAACCTGATTCTTTTATTCTGTACTATTATTTTACAGTAGTGTTTTACTTTATCTGTGTATGGTAAGTGAAAGAATAAAGCAGTTACTCCTGGAATGAAGTTAACTGATTAAAAAGACCAAAAGGCTGTTGGTAATCATTCAGGATGCATGTATGTATCATTTTCAGCAAGTTTTTGCTGATAACACATTAGAGCACTTCTTCTTATGGAAATAATATTCAATCAGAAGCAAAATTACAGATTTGATGTCCAGTTGGTAGGAAACTTTTGTGGTAAAGAATGAAATACCTGCTATGGATATGAACTAGAATATTTTTTTCTAAGCACTCTGTGTGACAGTAATCATTTCAGTTTGAATTAGAATAGGGGCAGGCAAAGATTTAAGAATATTCTAATATGTTGACTTTCTCATACCTCTTGGAATAAAATGAAATGTTTCTTAGTGCTGGTTTATCCTTCAAAACTGAAAGACACACACTGAACAAAAATATTATCACAAAACATTGTCTTATGAGAATGAGATAGCATATGCAAAAATAAAGCTTCCTTAGGTTTTATAGGAAAGTCAGTTTATATATGACTAAGAAATGTTTTCCCAGTGTATTATGTTTTCAGTACTTAATTCATATAATGCAACCTAGTCTGGTATATTTTATGACTTAATTATAATTTCAGATATAGCTTGATGTGAGTAGTATACTACAGAGAGGTTAATTTGATTCAGACACTGTACAGAGATAGCTACCAATATTTTTGTTCAGGTAAATAAGTTTCTTGTGCTAGGTAATTATAGATGCTTCTCTAATTTACTGGGCTTTCTCTTTTAGGCTTTTTCCTTGTTCCATTTTCAAAGAATTTTTTTAAAGTTCTTTAAAAAACATGTACTCTTTCTTGCCTTTATTATAAAATTACAGTCTGATTACACTTGAATGAACTTTGAATAACTGTAGATGCCACCATGTTTAAGTGACATTAATATCTGTGTTAACACATGTAATATCAAAACTCGAAACTTAAAATTTTAATGTTTATCACTTAAGTATTTTTTAAATGTCACTCAGAAAAATGACTTTCCTCAGGATTTTCAAGTTGAATTTTTTATTTTGATGCCCTAATGTTATTTAATGCTATCAATATTTGAGTTGTAGAAATATGTGGAGAAGAACACAATTCTAAAATTGTGATGGTCTATATAAACATGAAGCACCTGAAAACAGGGAAGAGTGTATAAGAGATAACCTGTATTCATATAGTATGTGTAAGATGTATTTCTGATTTCTAGTTTTTTTCTCTATAGTCTAGATAAACTTTTAGGGGCTATAACTACAGCAGCGGAACGAAATAACAGAGAACGATTTTCACCAATTGTGGAAGGATTAGAAAACCATGAAACTTTGCACTTACAGGTGAGTTAGTTTTGTCTTAAATTGCTTCCAGGGTTATTTTGCATTGGCCAACATTTTTGTTTGGGTTTTCCTGTACCATCTCACAGAAAAACCCGAATGAACTTTTTTGGCTAGTCCAGTACTTATTTTGTATGACACTAACTCCACTTTAGCTAGCATTTAAATAGAAGGGAACGTAAAAATGAAATCTTTTCTGTTCCTTGGTCATTCATAGAAGCTAAAAGTTTTGTCTGTGAAGATGATAATTTGCTTAAAGTGAGGAAGAGTAGTTTGAATTATTATAAATTGATCATGATTATCATTAATATTTGGGTAGAAATTTAGTAATTAGTGTACTAAGTCATGGAAATTAAAGCCTTAGCAATAATCAGGGCAAGAGGACAAACAGTTCAGCTAATGCCATTGTCCAAGTAAGTGTTAATGAAGTCTGTATGGGCCTGTTGTAGAAATTTAAGAAAACTAAATACATGTCTTTTTTTGTGTGCCATTCACACAGCATTCAAAAGTTTGTCTCCCCAGAATAGAGGGGACTGAATTCCACTTCTTAGGTCATGGTCTATTTCATAACCCTGTGTAGACCCAGCCTACATGTCTTCTTTATAAAATTATAAAATTTGTTATATTTTGTTAGATAGTTTTAAGAAATAAGCCATTTTATGAAAGAAAACTTTGTTCTTTGGTGATGATAGCTCTTATAATGTGAGATCTTGGACTAAACATTTTGATTTACATGTACTATCTGGTTTAATGCTCCAACAACTTAGCAATGTAGGTACTATTATTATCTCCATTCTGCTTATGAGACAAATATGCTAAGTGAGATTAAATAACTTGTCAAACATGCCACAGTTTGTAAGTGGCATAGTGAAATTCGATGCCAGGTTTGTTGGTCTATGATGCTCATCTCTTTGTTTTAGACAGTGTTTAGCATGTAATGTACCAGGGGAAACACTTTCTGAAATGTTTTTTAAACTCTTGTGGTGTCATTCAACAAAGAGAAAATGATTCCAAATTTAATTTTGTCAAATTATTTAGTAGTATTTATTAAAATTTCTTATCTGATATAAAAGTTTATTTTCCCCTTTTTAATTGTATCGTTATATGTCATTACCTGTTTTTGCCAGAGTTTCAGACAACAGCAGGTAAATTGGCACGTCCAAAGAGAATACTGTAGTGTCACAGAAGTGTAATCCCTTTCCAAATATTTGAGGAAGTTTGTTAATTGTTGTTTCTATTCTATGATGAGCATTTTGGATAAACTTTTATGGTGTGCCTTTTAAGGCCAGTGTATTACATTTTTTATTACTTGGGGGGATTTCTTTTTAGTGCTTTCCTTTTTTTTTTTTTTAATATTTTCTCTCAATAAAATACAGTATCTCTACCAAAAGGTTTGAAAACTGTCTTTTTTAGATGACTGCTTGAAATCTTTGTTTATATTTATGTGCCTGGGCTTACCTAAATTTCACTGACTTTCAGTCACATGTAGGAGTTTATTCTTGTCTTCAAGAGTTTGCTTAGGAGGAATTAAATGTTAATGTCTGTATTCAAAGTTTTCATTACTCAAATCACTCACTTAAACTCACACAACTGTTGAGAGGTAAAGCTGTGATTTGAAGCCAGATTTCTGTGATGTCAGTATTTGTTTACTGCATTGTCTGACCTTTAAAATGACACCTCTGCTATAGAATAGTTCAGCCTACACATTGATATGAGAGTGACATTTGCTAGCCTTCAGGAAGCTGGACCGAATGGAATGATAAAATGGCAAATTATTAACAAGTAACATATGGAAGGATCATTATCTTGCTAGGTATTCAAGAAGTTATTGAATACTGATTACAGATGCAAACATATACAAATCACAATTTGAAATTTCCTGTTTTAATGAGGTACAAAATTAATAATTTGTTAAAAACAGAGACAGTTATTCTCACAAGAATTGTGAAGTGGGTTTGTTCATTTGGATTATTTCATGTGAATGAAAAAAATACCTGAAAGTTCAAAATATATTCAGAATACAGCATGAAAAACAAAAGTTTAAATCTGTTGTTTAAAAAATAAAATTAGTGCTGTGTTTTACCAGATTACTTTTCTATTTCTGTATCCTGAGACTTCTCAAAATGTTATTACAGTATCTGAAATAATTCTGTTAAAATACAGGAGTAATTTTGTTCTTAAATAACAACTATACCCCCTCCCCCATCCTTTTTGGATTTCTAAAAAGGTTATTAACTTCTCACAGAGGTTTTCTAGGTCATCTTTAAAATTAAATTCTGTACCCATGATAGGAGTTTCATTATCTTCAGTAGTTCAAGAAATAGACAATAAATCATATATCCTTGTATGTTCTCTGTTCATTGACTTTCCTTCAACTGAGTAGCCTTCTCAAGTCTCTCCCATACTTCTCAAGTCTCTCCCATACTTCTCAAGTCCCCCATGCCTTCTTTTGATCCTTCTTATCTTTTGAAGTAGCCTCTCATCTTCCTTTTTCACTTTATAGTCTAAGTCGGTAAAAGACTCATCCATACTTGTTTTCTCTTTTTCCTAAATTAACTTTCACAGCTCAACTTTTTCATAGTTCTTAAAAAGACTCACAACAGTGGTTCTTGAATTTCAAAATCCAATGGCTTCATTCCGATCCTGATTGCTCTCTTCTTGAAAATTTTCCTACCTTTGCCATACTAGGCACCATCGGCTTCTTGCTCTCTGACTACCCCTAATCGTTCTTTCTCTATCTCCTTTGTGCATTTCTTCTTCTGGGATATTTTATTCCTTATGTTCTTTGCTTGGACCTATTCTGTCATAATTTTTGTATATATGTAGATATGTACACACATATATAAGCTCACATACATATACATTTATATGGACACACATATCTGATCACTCTCAATTGCTTCTTTAGCTTTAATAAAATCCAACTGTATTCTAATGATTCCCCAGACTTTGTCTGGCTCATGTCTGTATTCAAACCTACCTGTCCAAATAGCTAACTGGATATTTTAGAAGTATCATAAAAATGTGAAAGCCAAATTAGCTTTTATAAACCATGTTCTAATGTTCTAAATACTTTAATATGTTACCTCTTTTTAAATCTCACACTAATTTTCTGAGAGTGATAGAGAAGTAGTATTATCCTCATTTAATAGATGAGTAAGCTGAGGCTCATAAAGGTCAGATAACTTCTCTAGGGTCACGTAGTAAATAAGAGGTAAAGCCCAATTAGACCCTAGGGTATCTGGCTCCAGAGTACTTGTTTTTAACCACTGTATGCTCCTTCCTCTTAGAAATGGGCTCATTTCTCTTTTCATTAACATGATTTCCACCCAAAAGAAATCTCTTTTTCTTGTCTTTCTCATTTTGGATAATATAGAGGTATTATCTTCTGCCTAACTTTTGGTTTTCCTTAAGAGTTCATTCTTCTTTGTTCCCTGCATCCAATTAATCATCAAGTCTTACAAAAGACTATTAATCCATCCTGTTTCACTATCTCCACTGCATTTATATTCTCCCAGCAATATTATTCTAGCCATTTTCTAATTAGTATCCTGAACTGATAGATTCTTCCCCTCCAGACAAGTGTTTTGTACTGTTGTCAGTTATCCTTCAAAAGTAAATCTGATTCTAACATAGGAGCATTCCTAGAAACCTATACCTATGACCCATTGCTTGATAAAAGTGAAAATCCTAAGCACGATGAATGAGCTCTCTCAGTGTGGCCCCAACCTAACATTCTGGCCTTAGGCCCCAGCATTCTCCCAAATGTGCCATAGGTTTTAGCCATACTAAACCTGGTGTTTTCCAAATGTGCTCTAGACTTTTAAATGCCCTCAAACATTTTCTCATGCAGAACACTTTGCTTGGAATAGCAGCGCTTCCTCCAGCCATGTCCCTTTCGTCTTGGTAAGGTTTAATGAGGACACAAAGGAAGGCAAGTTTAAGTACATTCTGCCTAAGTCAGGGAAGGCTTCAGTGATGAAGTGATGCTTTAATTGGGTCTTGAAGGATCAACAGGAATTTTCCAGAAAATTATATTTGCTGATAGAAAACCAGTAATATGGTAGAGTGGGAGATAGGAGAAGGGTTTCCAGGAGGTAAAAAGGGAGACCAGAGTAGTCTGCCAGTCCCTTCAGAGAAGACAGAGTGAGCTAATACCAACATATAGTTGAAACTAATTTTTATGTAGTCCAGCAGGAAAAGCTAGGGTATACTGAGTATTAATGATAGTGTTTTTTTCCCTTTAACTTATTTTTATTATTTAAAAATATTTATATTGAAGTATAGTTCATTTATAATGTTGTGTTAGTTTCAGTTGTATAACAGTTTTTCAGCTATATATATCACACACCCAGACATATATATATTTTTATATCCTCTTCTATTATAGGTTATTATAAGATATTGATTATAGTTCCCTGTGTTATACATTAGGTCCTTATTGGTTATCTATTTTATATGTAGTAGTGTGTATATGTTGATCCCCAGCTCCTAATTTGTTCCTCCAAATAATAGTTGTTTATGGAAAGAGAAAGTCATATAGCTAACCCCCAATGAGATATTACAAGAAAAGCCCTAGTCTTCACAGGCTGGTATTAGTCTGAAATGTGCAATGTGTCTTAAAGTATTTCAGAAGCTGTGTGCAGAAATGTTTTTATTGTGATTTAATACATCTAGAAAATCTTATCTAGCACATTGAAGATAATTCACAAATTGTGCATGTTATAATTAGGTATGGTACACAGAAACATAGAAGTGAATACATGGTTGATTCACTTACCCGACCTCACCTTTTTGAGAGATTTATCATTTTGTAATATAACTCAGAGCCAAAAAGGAAGTAAAAGAAAAGGAAAATATGAGCAATCTACAAAGTGTCACCCAATACACCAAGTAAGCCTCATGATGACAAAGACTTTTAAGTCTTTAATCAGAGCCTATCTTTCTGTGGTATCTTATTGGGCCCAATTATTTGTTGTCTATCCATAGCAGACTAGAAGCAT